TGTGCTTTGGCTCTCTCTCTCTCTCTCTCTCTCTCTCTCTCTCTCTCTCTCTCTCTCTCTCTCTCTGTGCGCACGCACGCTTTCGCCCGCTGTGCCTGTCCGTCTGCTTTTGTTCAGACCTTTTTGGATCTCTCTCTCTCTCTCTCGCTCTCCCCTGCTGTGCCTGTCTGTCTGCTTTTGTTCAGACCTTTTCGGATTCCTCTTCCTGCTTTGGTTGACATCTTTTTCTTTCTCTTTTCTTCTTTCTTTTCGTGCTTTTGTTCGCCTTTTGTCGGACTTATCTTCTTGAAATGGCGAATGAGACACTGCACACCCTCACAATGTAAGCACCTTCCACTTACTCATAACGCCTTTGCTAATATGGGTTACTTACAGGGGCAAGCTGCAGGGGGCCCTGACTGTCATTTGTTTAAATTTTGAATTTGTCCCTCACTTCTGCTGCTGCTGTGGTGCTTTCATTTCCGTTTCCCCTCTTTCTGGGGTGGCTGTGCAGGAGAGAGTCCCGCTGAAGCGGCTGAAGGTGATAATCACGATTCAAGCAAATCTGCAGCACAGGTGGTGAAAAAACAGGGAAAGCTGTCCGACAACAGCCTCGGCGACCAAGATGCAGAATGCGGATCCACAGCACATCTTGCAAAAAAGAGAAAGCTCCTTCAGGAGGGCCTTGGAAGAAGAGTGGAAGAGTTGCAGGCAGGTGCCGTCGCGCTGAAGGAGTCTTTTGCCGAGGCAAATGCGTGTCTTGCACGAGAAGAAAGTGTTGTCCAGGCAATTAAAATAGGAGGAATTCTCCAAGACAAATAAAGGAGGGTGGAAAATAAAGGGTTTGCGAAATAAGAGGGGGTGGGGATATAATGGAGCAGTTATGTCCACTCTAATAGCAGGGAGAATTGATGAACGTCTGCGTTGCTGGAATCTGAACTGAGTGGATATAACTGCTCCTTACTGTTACCCAAGGCATGTGCTTGAAAGGAGCCTACTAGCTCCTGACTGGAAGGTCAGCGGATCGAATCCTGACTGAGTCACAGAATACTCCTGGTTGTTTTTGTGCTGTCAGAAGGAGTAGGACAGAACAGGATTTCCGATAGGACCTGAGAGCTCTGAGGTCTTGGCTTGGTGTTTAAGTCTGTTTTGGCCTCGGAGCGGTGGTCCCATGAATTGTTGGGAGTTGTGTGCGTGTATTATAAAGATAACCAGTATTGTCTTCTTCCTCTTCGAGTCAGGCACTAGCGGCAATTGCACGACCATGGGATCGATTGTTTCGTGTTCTAGTTCGATCTCGACACTCTTGAGGATCTTACAAACCGAGGCAGTCACTTCGATGTTGCTCTATACTGTTTTATCTTGTGAAAGAGGCGAGGAGGCTTGTGGTTTAACTACCTTACTCCTGTTGTTTGATTTGTCTGCACTCACGAGTCGAGTCCATGCACATGGGGATTGAATCATGTCCCTACCGTCTTCCCCCGAATACAACGTACGGTCATTATAGCTGTCTTTTTTGGAGCATATTTCAGTCTAAATACAGCCGTAATGACCGTGCGTTGTATTCAGGGGAAGAAGGTAAGTTGGAAATCGATTATGTGAGAAATCTAGTGTCCAGGCAGTCCACTGTCCTACCGGGCCACGGGCACTGGAACCCAACAACCGCTTGTGACTCATTGGCTAGCCGCACCACCCGGAGCTTAAAAATGGCCAGCGATGGCAGTAGCAGAAAGTGGCTGCAGCACACAGGCTAGCCGTAGCAAAAGAGTACCCCAGACAAGAAAAGCCCAGCAGCAGTGACAACACCCAAGTGTTGTAGCTGCAAATCGGGGTTTGACAGTAGCAGCACCAGCTCCAACCCTGTGCTGTTTCGGACGTTTGTGCCGCGACAAACCTCCGTCCCTACTTATGCTTAGCTCACCATTGAAACGGTATTCACCTGTGCGCAGTAGCGAATGCAGATCCCGGGGCTCGATCCCTAGACTTAACCTTACCTGTGTACATTACCTGTGTCGCCCCCGAGAGTTGAACCTGCGACCTGTGTATTTGTAACAGTTGGTAGACTGTCGGAGGGTCTGTAGGTGTAGGGGTTCGATCTGTAGACCTGTTGTCTGTAGGTCTAGGAAGTTCTAGAAGTCGTAGCTATAGGACCTCTGAAAGGTCAAGGTCGTAGCTGCTACAGTCCTGTAAGGTCAAGGTCGTAGCTGCTACAGTACCCAAAAGGCCAGAGTTGAAACTTCCGGAAGGTCCTGGTACTGGCCTTTCGCAATTGCTCACGTTTAGGCTGAGGCAAGTGGGCAAGTGGTGGAGTCTACCCATGCTGAGTCAGCAGTCCCAACCCCAGTCAGTCCTAGTCCAGTCAAGCAAGTACCGTATGGGACTGTGTACACCACGGGCATGGGAAAGGGCCAGACCATCGGGCTACAGAAGTATAAATCAAGAGGCAGCGCCCAGCCATTGATCCATTCCTGCGTAAGCCATGCAGAAGCGCTGCCACAGCGACTTGTGCGAGGTGGTCTGCAGTGAGCCCGAAGACGAAGTGGGCGAGAAGGAAGCTTAGCCATAGCGATAGGGTAGCAGCGGCCATAGCCGCCATAGCTGCTCGGAGAGTGTAGCGTGTATGTGTGTGTGTGTGAGTGTACAGTGTACTGCGTGTGGGATATCCAGGGTGATCCTAAGACGAGTGCGTGCGAACAAGGGGAGTTGAGTGAAGTGACGAACAGAGAGTTGTGTAGGCGCTGAGGCGCCATAGCCATTTGAAGTGAGATTGTATCTGAACTGTGTTCCTGGTTACCATATCTCTGAGTTTTGAGTGGGCGCTTGTCGCCAGTTTGCTGCGCAACCTGTTTACATGTGTGTGAAGTGTGAGAAGAAGCGAGTCTGATTGCACCATCTTTCGGAATCTTGATGGGCACGTGCCTGTATTCCACCCAATAGTACTGACAGAAAGTGAGGAGCGATGGTACTGTATTCCACCCAATAGTACTGTTGTTTCGCCGAAGAAGTGAGAAGAACCAGTGAGGAGCATCTTCTCATGCAGGGTGGGAGGAGCGTCAAAAAGAGCTGGCGGAAGCGTTCGTTTGAGCTGGTTCACCCGTTAAAGACACGGAAGCAGGTAGCGGCGCAATAATGACAGCGGCGATGGAGCAGGAGAATGTCGTGCGAACATGTGTGGTGTTGCTTCGCTCTTCGCGTCGGCTGCCTTTTCAAATGGCTTTCGCTGATTTTAATTTTGCATCTTCTCATTTCCTATATTCTTGCTCTAATCTAGTGCTTAGTACTGCTTACACAGTTATAAATTTATAATTTTTTTTATTTTTATTTTTTTCAAACAGGTCTCTATGGCCCTGGTTCCATTTCCATTCTGGGGAGCATCAGTCCAGTTCCTATTCCACCGGCAAGTCATAATAAAATATTACATCATGAAACACACTCACACTTCCTTCCGTCTGGCCGAAGGAACCCTGACCAGCATTGATTACGCCCGCATCATGGAGGATTGACTGTCAGCTTGCCTTACTTCCACCTTTCCTCTCAGGTCCACTGCACAAACTTGTCGGATGATTAATAAAGAACAAGAAAGGTAAGAGAAGCTACGGAAGTTACAGTCCCGGAATTTGCCCTTCAATGTTATGTGACCTGTGATGGATCTTGTCCTTCTGCTGGCTCTAATCTCTGTCTTCTCCACCCTGCTTCTGAGTTGTGCCAGTCTTTCCCTCGTATGTGAGAGTCATTTATCTCTGCCACTTCGCCCCTTGCAAGCCACACCTTAGGAATTTTGCCTTGGTTCTTCTCTGTTGCTCTTCGTCAACTGGCATGGACTGTCTCGTCTTGTGCCATTTACAAAGGATCTCCGCCTGAATCAAAGTCCTTGTCTCCGCCCATACCTTCTCCCTTGGAGTTGAGAGTCCCTCAATGGTTCTACAGCACCTTTCCTTCCAGATGGACCACAGCGTTACCTTTCTGATCATTCCAAACCACGTTTTCTCTGTCTTGTGGAATTTAGCCGGGATGTTAGTCCATAAGAGGAGTTGGATGGGGTGTTCAGGGAGGGGGCACGAGAAGAGGGAATCCCAAAGATCCGAGGCCCTCGCCCAGTATTCGGTCACCTCTCTGCATCGTATCAGGCAATGTAGCATATCTTCTGGTTCATTTTATGAACACACCGCGCATAAATCTGAACTGTTAGGGTCATTCTTGCTTTTTCTGATATTTAACCACTCGTTAACCGGTAGAGCTACGTATGAGATGAGCCATTGGAGGCTTCTGATTTTAACCGGTCGAATTGACTTGATATTTTTCCATGGTGTTTGCGGTATCTGATTTGCATCTTGACCTATTAACTTCTGCTATCTGTTGTTGATTGTTGGGTCAGGATCGTTTGTTTTGAGGAGTAAGTTCTATCCCAGTTTGACTAGGTAATCTTGAATGGAAACATTGGTTTTGAGGCTTCTATTTCTGTCTGGTGTCCAAGCCCACTCTGCCGGATCAAATTCCAAGTCTTGAATCGCCATATCCATTCTGAAGATTGTTTTTGGCCATGACCCCAACACTTTCTGAGTACGAAAGGGTTTAGGACTGTTCTTTCCACCTCTTTATTCAGGATAGATGGAAGGCCTTGTGTGGAGGGGGTAATTGGGAAGGAGGTGAACACTACCAGGGTGTCCGACCGTTTATGGGAGAATTGGTAGGCCCTTGTGGGGGTTAGATCCTGCACCCTCACTCGCCATTCACCCAATTTCCGAGTTGATCCTTCGCTCAACAACTCCTTCCAGCCTTCTGGGACGCAGTTGATAAGGGATTGTAGATTCTCGTCTCGTCGGTCACATCCTTTGAGCTGGGAGGCAAGTTCCTGCTCTGTCACCCAGTCTTTTTTCTCCTCGTTCCATAGATGGCTCACTTTCCAAACTCCATGTTTGATCCATGAAAGCCATCTCCTTCCTCTAGGCTTAAGGGATAGTTGGTTATCACTTTCGTCCCTCACCCACGGATTACGAAACAAGGGTTGCTTCAGTAGCTCTTCTTTGGAGTTGGGTCTACCCACTTTCCTTGGCATGACTTCTCGCCATGTCCGCATGAACACAGTCCAATATGGTGTAGGGGGTCTGGCTTTATTTAGATTGGTTCCTCTTCGTTGATTTTTGCGCCCTACACTTGGACTCCATTCCTTGGTCATTACCCAAAACAGGCCGGACATATTTCCTGGTGTGGCTGTAGGTGCTAGGCCCCTGATGCTATCCAAGGCCAGTTTACTCCATGTCGTACCAGGTTTAGTTAGTAGTTTGACTATCCATTTAACTTCTAAGGCTTTGGTTTCCTGTTTGGGGTCTATGACACCAAGACCTCCCTTCGCTGATTTCCGTGTGATGTAATGCCACACTATCTTTGGTATGCAGTTCTCTTTGTTGGGGTCACCTGACCACAAGTGTGCTTTTGCTTTACGATTAAGTTCCTTGATTGTATGGTCCGGAACTGTCCAAATTGACGCTATGTACCACATCATTGAAAAAATACATGTGTTGATGACTAATGCACGCCCCAACAATGATGTGAATGCATTACCCCATCTGCCCAGTTTGTTAATTTGTTTGGCTAGGATGTTTTGGGCCATTTGAGGGGCAAAGCCATCCTTTGTCAGCAAGATGCCCAGATATCGCGTAGGTGTCTTCGGTGTCTCCCATGTCATGTCTGCCTCAGGGCCTTGACGTTGGGGAACCTCCTCCGCTAGCCACCAGCCGATTGTTTTCTTCCAATTGATCTTCATTTCTGATGCTAGTCTGAATGCTTTCATAACTCTTACTAGCGCGCTGAACGACGAGTCTGAAGCTCTTATAAGGACCGTGAGATCGTCTGC